CTTATCAGGACACCGTGATATGAGGGAGAAGAGATGGAATCGAACAGAATGTAATTCAGTTAGATTTTCTTTCGTTTTAATTTTTTGAAACACGAGCAGGAGGGGTAAATATTAAAAAATTCGAACATGTAAAATTAAGTCTCTTAAGTTTTTTTTTTTTTTTTGATGATTTTAATAAGGGTTATTATATTCTTGTACTGTGTGTAATTGTTAAGTATAGGGAAGTATAGGGAAGTATACTTCTTCGAAGCTTTACTCGACACGATGCAATTTTCTGCATCTTGTATTAATTCTTTGCGAAAGATCTCTCTTTCTCTTTCACTCGCTCACTCTCACTCTCTCTCTCTCTGTCTCTCTGGTGATTTATTAATTATCGGAGGGACGAGTTATTACGCTAAGCGTTTTTTAAGCTTCGCCTTTTTTATCTCAGGACGTCAATTTTTTTTCTGATAAATGTTTAAAAAGTAAAAGTTTCTCTCCTGTATTTCGAAATATATTCGATAAGGGAAAAATTATATAGTATATACGTTTTATACACGAGGAAAAGAACTCGCGCTTTATAAATATGTTACAAATATATAGAACGAAGTTGTATACACTTTTAGAAACTTCTTTTTTTCTAATACGATACTTTTAATCGTATCTATCAATCTATTAACTATTTTTCCAGAAGGATAAATATATCTGTAAATATTCATCTACGATCACGAGCATATACTTATTTATATACTTTTCTCGAGCCATTTTTTAAAAATGGAACGTTTATACAATATTTTAGAAGAAAAACAGATACAGAATTGTAATGTAATTTTTTTCTAAGCCTGTATTTTTTGAAAGAAATGAAATTTCAAATGGCGTACGCCATTTTGTATTCGTTGTAATCTTTTATAAATAGTCTTCCGTAGGAGAATGGAGAGGAAAGTTTGTTATGAAAGAAACAATTGGAATTTTTCCGTGACCAATTTCATAATAAAAAAAAAAAATAAAAAAAAAAAAAAAAAAAA